TAAAGTTGAAAATATCCAAAACTCCATATTTCATAACATGTAAACTGAGTTCATAACTTAATTGAGATTAACAAGATATTACTGCTTTTCGCCTAAAACTTAGTGAAGAGTGAACACATATCTAATTTAACTACAGGTGAGTTGGCAACTAGATCTGTATACTTTTTGTGTTCCGAAAATGCATATATCTTTTACTTGCTGCAGATAATAATTGTAATAATTTTGTATACTCCAAACTATATAAATCCTCAATTTTTAAAATTCTACAACGATATATGTAATTGTCACTTAAATCACTAAATATAAATTTGCTTTTAATTGACATCTCCTTTAAAAAATCTCTGTTACATGCAGTAAGCCCACACATCAAGCACCTGGGTCAAATCTATTACTTGTTTATAAAATGGCAATAAATTATTTGTATCATAATTAATTAAATGGTCAATTTGATTGATTCAGATAGAAAATAATTGTCCCCACATAAAGATAAAATTTTATTAAAAAATGTCAGTCGAAAAGTTGCGATTTGTGCTGCTTGATTTCGCACTCCATATTTTACTTGCGGTAAGTAAACAAAAGGACTCGGCACCCAACGTTTCAACCCCGACCAGATGTAATTTTCAACTTTTCTGCAAATTTGATCTAACATTTCGGAAGGTGGGTCTAAAATTTTGAAAATATACCAAAAAATCGAGAGAAGAAAAGTATTCGCAATTTTACTTCTCGAAAAATGACTCACGGGAGCGCACTTTTTAGTGTAAAATTCTAATTTAGCATTAAATTTATTCATTAAAACTGTAAAATTCTGTGACATATACTTATTATTTCCAAAATAAATTCATGATATTTTCAAACTATCTGCAACTATTGGGAATCTAGTGAGGGGTGGTGTTTGAGCACCTAATATTAATATTACAGACTTCTGTTCATTTAATTTAGTAGAGGAAAACTGGGAATATTTGGCATATTGTTTCTCTACAATAGCAATTTGACCCTGATGACCCAGAAGAGCATAGGCCGATAAATATTTCGTAGGATGTCTTGGCCAAGCACTGAGACCAGAAAGTAACATTTTTTTATGAAGGCTAAAAAGCAAGGATTCGATACCCAAGCAGTATAAAGTAGCGACACTGGGGTCACCCTGTTTGATCCCGGTTCCGAAATAAACAGGGGCGGTGAGACTACTTCCCACCGAAATCACAAGAGAAATGTCAGTGTGAAGTAATCTCACAAAATTTACAAATTTTTCCGGAAAACCAAAGTTATCTAATACTTTAAATAAATATTCATGACCAACTCGATCATAAGCTTAATCCTGATCGAGACTGAAAAGCACGCCATCCATCTCACCGTTGCGCAAAAAGGATAAATTATCAAAAATTGACCCCCCGTTTACCCCACAAGTCTATGATGGAAGGTAGGACGGAATTAAGACGGGATTTGATGCAAAGGGAGATGATTTTGTAATAAGAATTTGTTAGTGAAATTGTACGATAATTTTTTAGGATTTTTGGGTCACTGGATTTAAAAATTAACGTGGCGACAGAACTCCTGCACGATTTGAGCAGAAATCCTTCTTCACATGAAAATTTGACTAATTTACTCAAAATTTTGCTCAATTGTACTGAAAATTTCTTATAAAATTCAAAACTTAATCGGTCTAAGCCTGGGGCTTTATTGTTTGGAGATTTGTTAATTGCTTCTAAAATCTCATCGGAGGATAAATCATGCTCAAAAATTTCTGGGTTATTAATTGTTGGCATCCCATTCATAAATTTATCTTGATTTGACAAACTTGCAGAGGTTGGGAAAAAATTTTCTGCAAAAAAATCTCGTACCATTTCTAATTTTTCACTCGATGTCAACGCATCCAGCGCCTCATCTACAATGATTCCATCGCGCGTGGTCATCACTTTTCTATCGGGAAGGTCACTGCCGACACCCTCACCTCGAATGTCACCCTCCAAGGTGTCAATAAAACTTTGAAAAATTTTGTAATTAACATTATTATTTGGCTGGATAAATTTTTGATACGTTAAATGAATAATCTTTTAATGGTGATTTTACTACTTTCACTATTACCAGATCTATCCCTTGGAGAGTCCTCTACAAAATTCCAGTCCAGGTAGCGTCATTCGTGGGCGCTGTAGTGATTTCACGCCTTATTATGGCCAGTGCGTCGTTTGATTCAGTTTTTTTGAATGAAAAGTGGACATTTATGATTTTAAAAGTTTGACCTAAAAAAATAAAGGAAATTTTACTCATTTTTCCGGGAAGAATAATAATACTATACTAATAATACTACTATACTAATAATACTACTATACTAATAATAATACAATACACAACTATTACTACTTCCTTTCCACACTTGTATAATATTTTGGAAAACTTGCAATTATTTTCTATGCTAACTTAAATAATTTTTAATTACTTGTAACAAAGTGGTGGGGTTAGGTGGAGTTATTAAATGGACGGATCATTTCATATAAGAGGATATGTACATACATATTTATTTTATACCAGAGCCTGATGAAGTTATTCGAAACCGGTCACAATGGTGAATAAAGTGATCTTCATTCAACAGTTTAAAGTGTTTTTTGGATAAATTATTATGACATCATCGTATAGATTCATAAAAACCTATCTACTTACAGGGTGGGCTTAAAGTTGTTGACAGAAAATTCATGACAAAATATCAAAGTGGATAATTTTTTATTGAGTGGTTCAAATTTAATCGTGTTTGGTACAGATATGTACCAATATGTAGTGTATCCACCTGATATGTCAATCATGGCCTCCACTCGTTTTTTAAAATATTGGGCTAAATTTTCCAAGATGGTCGCTGAAATGTTTTCTCATTCAGATCGAATTTTTTTGAATAAATCTGCTTTTGCTGTATGATTGGGAGGTTTATAGGCAGAATTCTTTAGAATAGAACCCGTGCTCTCGATTGGATTCAAATCTGGTGAATTCCCCGGCCAAATACCTTTTCCACGGACATCGGAAGCTAGCACCTCCAAAACGGTACTGACAAGTTTTGCGATGTATGGTGGGGCACCATCTTTATGAAATGCTGCCTCTCTTATATTGGGAAATAATCCCTGACTATTGAAGTTCTCAATACACATAGACAGTATTTTGTCGTTGCAATATTTAGCCCTGACGGCACATCCTTCCAAAAAGTAGAGTTTGGTGATCCCACATGCACCGAACGCGCCGGGTACCCTAATTTTAAGGCTATATTCTGGTCGTAGTTTTTGAGGGACCGACTTCTGGTCTTCGGTTTAGTATGTATCATTTTATCTGTTATCAGATGGGATGACCTCCATCCAAGTCGTGCCAGTGGAAAAAATGTGGGACCGTTTGTGCTGACCTCGTTTCCCGCACGCCAAAAACCCTGTTTCCTTAACAAGTTCTTCAAATTTCGTCCGATTTTCAATACGCTTTTGGCGGAAAGGTGATTTCGCATGTCTCCTATAGCCAGTTTGTCCCCATGAATGTTGTTTAACCTAGGTCCGAGCCGCCAATGTGCTTAAAACCTTTGCCTTCTGATAATGCCGTTTGGTTCGATTTAGTCGTTTAACTGTTTTTCGCACTGATGCACCAGTATTCGATTTTAAATTTCTTGTTATTTGCGATTTTTTTGTTGGGGACACTACTCCAGATCTTTCTGTCCTTGGTTTGTCTTTCACAGTCGCTCGGCGACACGACAACTTGAGCGTGTTCAAGGCAACTCCTACTTTTCAGGAAATTTGGGAGAAGCTCCACCACTCACCAAATAGTATTTGGATTTGCAATCTTTTTTTCCCCACAGGCTCTTATATTATTGTGCTACACAACGCAAAAAAAATTACTGTTTTATCATGAATAGTTCGCGATAAAAAAATGTTTTTCGAAAATAAAAACAGCGTTTTGCATGGGTGTCAAGAACTTTAAGCCCACCGTGTAGGATATTTAAAATCTCTTCTTCATGGAAGAAATAAACCCCTAGAACAAGTTTTTAATCGAATTCAAGAGCGAAATTCTATTCGTGAATGGAAATTTCACTCAAAGCCAGTGCAATATAAATTATTGGAAGATAAAAGGCAACGACTTATTTGTGATAATTTTGTCTTTCTCTACCCAATAATGTTTGCCAACTGAAAACTGGTCAAACTATAATCATAGACTCATTTTATGTTGAACTAAGTGAAATGTGGTGTAAGGGAAAAATTCTCACATTAACCCAGCCTTTTTACTCTATCCTGGAGAACTGAAACTGCGTGGGAATCAGTCTCGCCACCAAATGCAAGGAAATAATCAGCGTGCGTGTAGATGCAATAAAGAGAAAGTGCGTGAGTTTTCCAGTTGGTGATAAAACTGTTTTTATCCCGCCGCGACATTATTAACACTTAATGAAAAATGAATTCTTCGGGGGAGTACTTATTACGATTTGTTCCAGTTGACTTTGTTCATGATCTGAGTGTTGCAATAGTAAGCAAAGAATGGATTCAAAATTTTAACGAGAAGAACTACTCTTACTGGCCACCGTACTGGAAGGATAATAGGAAGTTAAGCCAGGCTGTTATCAAAGGAGAGCCTCCAAATACAAATAATTGGACGCTGTACCCACTAAACACTATAAAGGCTTACGGTAAGCGAATATTTTTGGTTTATTTACATATTTCAATAAAAAATATTTTCCAACCATATTCTTAATTCTCATTTGTGTATATTTATTCCGAAGCAGGCTCTATGTTATTGTAGCAATTTTTCGGCATGGAGTATCCTCTATGTTGCAAAGCATTCAAGTCCTGTCAAAAATTTCAATATGTATGTCAAAAAATCAACAACTTTTAAACAAATATTTGGTTGAATGATTTATTTTTTATATAAAAATTGTAGAAGATACATTAAGAATTTGTACAAACAGTTTTTCAGACTTTCTGACAACAAATTTTGTACTACCACATGAAAGTAAAATTATAACTTAATAATGCAGACATTTGTACAAAATGATGGGTCAAATGTCGTTACGATTGGTAGGTTCTAAACTTAACCTAAACTCTTCACCCAAATTAAATCGCATCCCCCACTTTATCTTTAATACGCAAATCCTCCTAATGTGGAGGCACTGGACAAACAAAATCTGTATTAATTCTCCACCAAAACGCTTTCATAATGTATATCTAAAGTATTAAGATTCTTTGTCAACTGACATGTTTCTAGCGACATTACGGAACCTCGGCGACTCCCAGTTCGAGAGTATGACGGTGGAAAGAGTGACAGGAGGGATGACACGGACTGTGACCGCATTCTGGAAAGAAAACCTCGTGATATGACCCTCCCTTGACCACCCACAACTCTTCCAGTCCCGATAAATATTTCCACTTCTCCTCGAACTTTTCCTAAGTCAAAACACCCCTCGCCAAAGAAGATCCTGAACTGTAAACAAAATATTTACAAAAATATTTCAACTTCCGCAATAATTAAACCGGAAGTTATATCTGTAATCCATACTCTTAAGTAATGCTGGATTTTCAGTTGGCCATCTCCAGACGGATTGAACGAAGCCGACAACCATTTATCTTCACACCCAACCTTGTTCTCGGGGTCGAGGAATTTTCCGCGAAATGTCAAACTTAATCCAGGAACGTGTTTTGATTGAGTTTTCGTGTCAAGCACCCTTTCTATTGGTTTCGCTTCTCCTATGGAGATTTTTTCGATCAGAGCGACCCAACATTGGATGGAGATTTCCGGTCCGACTTGGCGCGCAAATGTAAGGGTCACATTGAAAGGTAGTCCTTGTTTACTACCAATCAGGTAATATTTCCGAGGCGAGGTGAAAACTAGAGTAAATTCTTTGGTAACCGAGGTCCAAATAATTGTCTCGCACTCATTTTGAATCGATACCAAATTATGCCCGTGATACCCGGGTAATGGTTTGGTGTCGACTTGTACATAGCCGTCATTCGTTCGGAGGTATGCAACTAAAAAATATTCCACCCGAAACCAAAAGCCAATACTAGATGGTAGCTGGTCATGATTTTCCGGAAGTTTAAGTTTGAATGATACTGAATTTCGGGGCAGAACTGAGGATTGACATTCTTTTAAATTAGCTCCCTTTTTGATTCCTGTAAATGTAATTTGGTGTTGATCAAACAAATTTTGTAAGGATAGTAGTATTATTAGGGGTATTAATGACTTATCCGTGTAATCAAAATATTCCAAATGAAAAATCAATTATCAAAATTACAATCAAAAATTAACACAATAATTACCACATGATTTTTTACTACACTCAATGACAACAATACGGAGCCACCATAAGGATCCCCATTGCAGCTGAATCTTACCTTTTTCTTCTCCAGAAAGCAAGACAAAAATTTTCGAGTGACAAATAAATTCGGAATCTTCATCTGGGACAAGTTCCCTCAAAAAGGTGCGACAACTTTGTCCGTATCCTTTTTTCAAGTATCCATGAAGTTCAACTATGAGTGCTAAATTTGAAAATATTTTCACAGTTAATTCCCAAATATTGGATGGATACGTAGAGAATTTATTACACATTAGAACGCAAGACACTGCTTATCCCCCGGAATTCAGAACACATATTAATAATATTTTTGAGTTTCCTGAATTCCCTGAATAAAAGTTATTTCTACATATTACCCTAGCAGATTTAATGGGAATAATATACCGAAATAGAGGAATTACACAAGATTTCTGACTATAATCTTAATAAATTTTAAGCAAAAAAGTTCTCCTTGTACCAAATTTAATGAATAGTTTACCGTAATCTGGCCAATTATCTGATTTTCGTCCAATTTTATGGACAGAATCCCCAAGTTGATGAGTGATATGTAATTTTCCGCAAATCCCATTTTCTCCTGGACCGTACGGTAAGGAAATGTGCGAAAAAATACAATGCAGCCCATTCGTAGTCTTGCTATCAGGTGAGTTTGCGATATTTCTATGTGTCCCACTAGATGAGCCAGCAACAGGAACTCCGTCGGTAACGCCACACTCCATTATTATTAGTTTTAGGGGTATGTATTTTTGCACAAGTTAAAATCCTGATAGATTCTCTATCCTGGTGAGAATTGAACATCTGGTTTTCTCATATGAGTAAGAAATCAATGTGTTCAGGTTTATGGGGAAGCCTAAGTAAACAGACTGGTTACTTAACGCAATGCGTACCACGCATACCCAGGTGAGTAAGCTATCACTTGGAAACCCGGGTTTGAGCAGGAAATTTTGTGTAGAAGTATATAAATTAATATGAATACGAGTAAGCAGGGGAGACAGAAAATTTGTCTTTTAACACATTTTCGACTTGTTTTCTTAGGCGACCTTAGTTTCTATTTTTGTCAACTTTAAAGAATAAAAGGATAATCAAGCGGGTAAAGTGTTTCGATTTGTTAAGTTGTAATTGAACGGTAAAGTCCTAGTCTCCAATCTAATACAACAACGTGGTTCATAATAGCAACATTAATGGAAGTACATTCACATTCTACTGCTTAGGAGAGGTCCATTAATGATGTCATAGGCTAGATAGAGTTGCTGTTGTCCGTCACTTTCATCAAATTGTGAATTATACTTAATTCCTGAAGCCGTTAGGTTCTATGGGAGGAATATTTTATTTTGTATGATACGAATTCATAACATAATCCTTTCAGTAATTTTATTGCAAGTGAAAAAAATATGCTGATTTTTTGTTCATCGGTCTCATTAATTAATATTGTTTAACATTTAATTTCGCGACGTGACAAGAGGGGTGTGGGGGTTTATGGATATATGGTGACAAGGTTGTGACAAGAGGAGGAGGGGTGTAAAAATCCCATTTTTTGCGCGACATCATTAATGGATCTCCCCATTAATGGGATGCAAAGTTTACATTGCATTAAAAATATATGAATTGCTTGAGAAATTTAGCAGAAGGTGAAAGTAAGTTTAGCGAAAAATATGTTGTCTCAGCTTGCGGCATTATCTTATCCCTAGGACAGGATTTATTAAGCAATAATTTACGTCTCAATAACTCCATGGTGAACTCTTAATAACTAAGTCGTAAAATACCTTGATATCCTAGAATATATCTAATATAAGATGTTCACATCATTACTTAATCAACTTTTTGCCAAACATTATGGCAATCTTAGTCTTAGCAGTTCTTACTGTGCAAGAATATAAATGTTTTGCTGGGACTTTTCCGTGAATTGTACCGAAACAGTATGGATATGGAGAAAGATATGTATAGAGTGAAGGTTGCAACTTCTCTGCAAATTTATAAAAAAATTGTTTTCTGCTACCGTACAACGAGATAAAAGTTTCCTCCATTAATGGACGGCCGGCATGCAACAAAAATAAGTATAACTTAAACTTTAATTACCTTAATTTTAATAAATTCACTCTGAGAAAGAAAAGACAAAATTCATAAAGGTTGGACAAAAAAGGGGATGACACAACTGTTGAGTAAAATTTTATACAAACCAAACTGCCGCTAGATTACGTTTTTGGGTTTAACTATCTCAATCTCATTGGGTGCGGAGGGCTGGGCGACGGTTTATGCTTAAGTTTAGGTTAACGATCACACTGGGGCCAGTAATTCAATCAATAATTAGATATGCCAATATGTAGACCAGTATGTACCTGAGAGTAGTTTAATTATAAAGTTGGTTTTTACGCTAAGTTTATGCTAAGAAATGGTGTGTCACTTCTCCAGACATGTCTAGATTTTATTTTACAGATTTTCCAAGGCTGTACAGATTGTTGACGTCTAGGTACTATCATGTTCATGCGAAATGGATTTTGGCCTTCGAAAGAATGTAAAGTTCTTGATACTGGAATAGATAAAATGATGCTACATAAAAATAGAAAGGCCTAAGTTAGATTCTCCTGAACTCGTTATTACTTCCCAGACCTAGTTAATTCATGGTATGCTCTTGCATGGTAAATGATCTTATTGCTGGCAAAAAAATTATAATCGTCTTAAAATTTGAGTTAGCTCTTTCTTACGCGTATATTTTCACACATCTCTGGTAGAATTAACATGTCGCTCCAAATCTCTAAAGAAAACCATACCAAGATATTACAGGAATTTAGAACCCTGGTGAACCCAGATTTATGTCGGCTTACCGAGTCAGATTGGCAAAAAGAGGATTGGTATTTGTTAAAATTTCTACACGCCAGGAATTTCAACCCGGTCGAAGCATCTCAAATGCTGATAAATTGTCTCAAATGGCGAAAAGAATATCACCCTGGTTCCCTTAAGAGTGACGATTTCCCTAATCTATTTTTCGAAACGTGTCCCGAAGCTTATCTCGGCCTTGATAAGGATGGATACCCGACATTTTTTTCTATCCCTGGAAAAGGAGATGTGACCAAGTGTGTTGAACAGTTCGGGGAGAAATTGATGATACAATATTTAGTGTTTCAAGTGGAACGTGCCTTATCAAAGATAAGAGAGGATTGCACAAATTCGAGGAAAATGGCGGTATACATTGCAGACATGGATGAGTGCGTTTATGTAATTCAGGGTTGCCAGTGATATATATCACCAAGTGAGATATAAGCAGATTTAATGATTTATATCAATCATCTCATTTGGGCCTTAGTGAGATAAATGAGAAATAGTGAGATTTGTGGCGCCATCTAGTGGTAAAGTTTTATTAGTAGTGCATTACGTTGTCCGCTAGATGGCGCCCATAAATCTCACTATTTCTCATATTACTCATCAATCTTATTATTTCTCAATGAGATGAGATTCCTGCAACCCCGGTGTAGATTAGGATCCACAAATGTTGGTTAATTTGATCATGGTGTATCTTTTATTTCCAGGTTTAAATACATGCAGCTTCTCTCTCCCACTTATTACCGCTGTCTTACCAACTATGGGAAAATTTTGGTGGCCAACTATCCCGAAATGCCATGTTTACGTTATAAACGCGACGAGAGGGTGTGAGTGGCTGTTTGCAATATTTAGAGCAATCTTTCCAACCGAGACGATGGAAAAGGTGTCACTATTTGGGACGAATAGTGAAAAATGGAGGCCCGTTTTTAAAGATAGGTTTCGTGATGGCTTACTTCCTCCCTGTTTGGGAGGAATTTTGGAAGGCTGTGACGCTTATTGTAATGACAGTGAGATTTGGAGATAGGAATTATTTAGAAGATCCTCTTGTAATTTTTTAGGTCATGAGATTAACATAAACAAAAGACGACTAATTATAAAAATGATTCTATACAATTAATAGCAGTTACCGAACTGGAGTTAAAATACAAATTAGGATAATTTTGAAGTGGTTTAAGAGCAATTCTTTATTAACTCCAGTTTGCGGAAGTAACGCTGATAAATGGTTGGCCCTGCGTAGCACAAATATATATTTAATATAATGTTTATTTAATTAAGTAAGTTGTTTAAAGATTATAATTTTACTAATATCTGGGCTAAAATAAATCACTTGTATCCGTACAGAAATATAAATCAAGGGAAGATACGTTATGCAGAAAATGTTTGGTCAATTTTATGCAATACATTTACAGTAAAAACAATATTGGCAAATTTTTATAGGAACTAAATTCTATCTGGATTAGGTACATCTAGTTGCAGGTCTACCATCCCATAGCACAATTTTTTCCACATGTGTACAATCTGAAGGAAATTGTGTGTCTGATTTTGTTAGCAACTCGTCGCATGGACTGGTTTGGATGGTGCATTAATCAGAATTGCCCACCACATAGATTCATTTTCACCTTCTTCATGTTCTACAGATACATACATGTGCATTATGAATCAGCTCAGTAACCACATCTTAACTTTAGGAAATTCGCCTGATCTCCGTATGTATTTAAATGCATTTCACTAGAGGAATATTTATGATAGACTTTTAAAAATTGGACTCTTTTTAATGTTTTTGTCAGAATTCATTTTCGTATACTTTATTCATACCACACATTGTGTTGGGGGTGAGGTCAAATTTTAAAATCCGGAAATTATAAAATTTTCACCCTCGTCTAAGCTTTTCAGAGCCGTTTAAAATTTTGAAATCTTTTTGAATTTCGTAGAATTTATTATTACAATTTTTGTGATAAACTTTACCCGACGTTGTAGAGCACCATAGTCATTCCAAATAGTAATGATTATTACTCTTTTTTTGTGTGTAGAATTATGAAGAAAGTAAAAAAATGGAAACTTCGGCACACTCTGAAAAACTTTATTAATTTACAAATTTACTCAAGGTTGGGTAAGTTGGTGATGGAAACAACAGTTGGTTAAAATTTGCCAAAAGTTGCCCAATTAATACGAAACGTTGTTTAAATTTTACTAAATGTTGAGTAAATTTTGCCCAACTGTTGTTTCCATCACAATTTTACCCAACCCTGAGTAAGTTTTCTACAGGTCTTTTTAGAGTGCATAATTTAGAAAATTGTTTTTCCTATGATTTTTTTCGATTTCAAAATTTTCAAAATGTTTTGGTAAGATGTCGAAAAATTTTATAGGAAGAACAATTTTCTAATAATATTTCCTAAATTATGCCGAAGTTTAAATTTTTTGACATTCTTGATTATTGGACCCTTCTATCCTTCGCCCCTGTCTGCTTCTGCTTACCATAAACTTGAAATGGGACACTAATATTTTATTTTTAAGGGTGTACATTATGAATTTTTTTGCAGTTATTCCTACCGATAATTATTATCTCGAAGCCTGCATCGATTCATAAACAGGCAAGGGAAACTTACAGAGGCGAATTATCCTGGACAAGGAAAAGTTTTTGTAATTAATGCCTCGAGGAGTTATGAATTGTTGGTGAAGCTGTACAAAGCATTCTGCGAAAAGGAGACGTTGGAAAATATGTTTGTATTTGGAACGGATTCTACAGAATGGATGGCGATATTTCGGGAGAGGTTTGATGTTTGAAATCTTCCACCTTTTTTGGGAGGCAGTTTACCCGGCGTGGATGAGTTTTGTAGCGGGAGTGAGATTTGGAGAAGTGAGTAGTTAAAGAGGGTGTATGTAGCAGTAAGAGATTACTTATAAATAAATAAATACTTACAGAATTGAGTGCACATAATAAATTGTGTATTACAAATATGTGAATAATGAAGATCAATGTATGCAAAAAAAGTTCAGTGTAGCCTTGCTCTGCCCACGACAGGTCATTAATGGTTATTTTTCAACTCAAGTTTCATACCAGCAAATGACATGTAAAATGAAATATCTGCTTCAGTTCTGTTTCCGTAACCTTTCGAAAGTCAAAATTTACTAACTTTACTTACGTACTAATTTTAGTTGAAAATTTAGTTTACTATCTGTGAATAATAAACTTACATATCTAACTCCAGGTAGAACTACAAATCTTCCACTAATAATTGCATTCTTAATGAATTATCTCAAGGGTGGATTGCACCCCTGAGGGATAAATTTATATTTACGAATTATTTGTACATACTAGGCAGGGAAATGCTTTAATTAATTAATTGTTAAGTCAAAATACAGCAAATCTCAAGATTCCGATTTACACGCTACACTAAGCGCTTCATTTCTTCTATATCCACTACTTTGACACCGTTTAGAAACAAACGCTGCCAGGATTGCGGTAAAAACGAGAAGCAAGAAGGCCACGATACATAACAAAATTAAGGTCAATATAGGTATCGTGAAGGAAATGTCGCCAAGGCCGGTCCCCTCAGGACATAGTTGGATGGATTTCGGATAGATTGGAACCGTCTGAGAGAGAAGTTTTTGGATAAAATATTCCCTTGGTTTTCCTTCCGATTGTAGGGAATAAGAACCCTGTTTTTCTTTACAATTCTCTTCTTCGTAGAGAATGACGCACTGTCCATAGGTTCGGACTGACAGGTAGGTCTTCTCGTTTTCAAATGTTACGCAGCCATTGGTGACATCTAGATTTAGGGAGTGGCCTGAAAAAAATAAAATGTTTTAGTTTATGCAGTCTTTTCGAAGGGTTTATTATTATGTCTAAAAAGAAAGAAATTATAGGATAAAAATATGATTAAAAAATTCCCGGTAATCATTGTGTACCTAACGTCAAGTAAATGTAATGTCTCGCTTGTCCTAACAAGAGTGAGTTGCGGGTCAAGGGAGTACATACGTGACGATTCCCCCCGTCTCATTTTACCCCTACTGTCATGTTCTCTTATGACAAACTTAAAATAAATAGTTCGCTCTGAATCCTTGACGAAATTTAAATGTTATTTTTTTTTAATTCTATATTTTTAACTCTACAACTCTATGGGACCAGAATTTCGAAAAAAAATCCTTCCTCAAATGAGCGTTAAATTTTACAAGAAGAAATTTTTTTTCGAAATTCTGGTCCCATAGAGTTGTAGAGTTAAAAATATAGAATTTAAAAAAAAAATAACATTTAAATTTCGTTAAAGATTCAGGACGCCCTATTCATTATAAGTTTGCCATAAGAGAACATGACCGTAGGGATAAAATGAGACGGGGGGAAATCTTACTTAAACTGCCCCCTTAAGAGTTAAAGATATCACTAACCTAAGCTGTTACGAACGTATTTCCTCCTGATACCTAAGTAACAATTTTTGGAAGTAAGTCTTCCACCACAGGTTATCTTACCCGTCATTTTAGACGAGTAAAAAATGTTCAATTTGAAAACCTAAACTTTTTGTGTCACAGAACTAATTACATATTAAAGTGTAATCAATTTCAATTTGTGGGAATCATTCATGTATAGCATTTATTTAAAAAATACCGTAATATCCGGGATGAGAATAAAATGTTACAACTTTTTTTCCAGGACTCGTTCCACTCTCTGGGTTGATTTCAGGAACAGATTTATCACAGAATTGTCCACACCTTGATACCGCTCTTGCATGTGCGGCGTAGGTATCCTTGGCACCCAAATTCCAAAAGTACATTGTGCGCAGTTCCGGATAATCTGGGCGAAACTGGGTGAACTCTTCGCCACAGTTGGGCGCAGAATGGAGTTCGATACAACAATTGCGATCTCCACTTATCTTCATGGAGAGCAAGCGGCCGCTCGGTGGTGGGATTAAGATACACTCGTCGCTGTCTACATTGATATTGGTGGCGTTACCTGGAAAGGTGAGAATTATTGGAGGGCAGACCTCAATGAATATGTTCGTAAAAGTTGTCTTATTCAAAGGGCTCGAGTATAGTAGACTTTTTTAAATTTAGATAATTTTTTTAATGTTTTGTCAGAATTCATTAAATATTTTCTAGGGAGTGTGGTCGTATTTTTAAAATCTGAAACTTTTTCTACATAGTCGTCTATGTAAACTATGTCACCCATAAGGTTCGGAGTTGTTTAGCATACTGTAGTGCGTCAGTGTGCCGGTATATGTAAAAAATATAAGATTTTCTGAAAGCCTGTCCAATTTCAGTAAAAATTATCCTAAGCCAAAAATTGACAAAAAATTTGCACCAAAATGCCAGTTCCTTTACCAAAGCATGTCAGAAACGAGCCACTACAGTTTCTTTTGGAATTGATCTTAAAAATTTTTTATACCCACGTTTGAATTGACCCAAATCTTGCGGTTGATGAGTAATCTTTAAATATCTACTTTTCATAATAGCCCAAAATTTTCCGATCCCACGAGCTTGTGTTACATTAGGATCATTGTCTTTCTTTTGGGAAAACTCCAAAAATTCCAAAATTCCAAGTTTCTGAGGCAGTTATTCGTAGCCCTGAAACCTTGACCGTTTCTATATTTGGAGACTTTCTTCTTCGTAAAGATCTTCACCGTAGGTATTGAAGTTTTATTTTTGACCCACTTGATTTTGAAATTTTGATTAGTTTAGCCTCACGAACCTTCATGAACTTTTCTGATTTTATATACTTTCTTTTTTTGAAATTTTGCGAACACCTTACCATAATTTGGATGAAATTCAAAAATTTTATGATCGTCCTAATGTTCTAAAAGTCTATATATGCAAGCTTTAGAAATTTTTTTGTTTTTGAAACATTCAACCATTGCACTTTTGGTCATTTTTGCATCAAAAAAATAGTACTGTACTAACTCGTTTCTGACATGCTTTGGTAAACGTGCTGGCATTTTGGCACCATTTTTTTCGCAATTTTTGACTTGAGCTTATTTTGACTGGAATTGGACAGGCTTTCAAAAAAATTATCTCATTTTTAAATATACCGCCACATTGACCCACTACACTATGCTAAACACCTCCGAACCTTATGTGGGACATTGTTTATGGTTTTCAGAACCATTAAAAATTTTGAAATCTTTCGAAAACAGACGGAGCACTGGTAATTTGAATTTTCAGCAGGTTAAAAAAGGTGTAATTAAAAAAAAATATACCATAATACATAATTTCGTAAAATGAGGTTAGATTCCGGATTTGGCGAGGAACAGAGTGATGCATACATAAATTGGCTGTTTATAGGACTACCAAATAAGGACTACTATCAAAATATTTATCAATATTTAAATTAGGACAATTTTGATCTATTCGAATTTTGAAAGGAAATTGTTATAAACCCGGGTAATATAAATTGAAGCAATGATTTTCTCCAGTTATTACATAATCAACCGTCTAGTAATGGCTTCGTTATTAATATAACTTTACACACTTTCTGCTCACCTTGGAATCCATAGTCATCATATAACGTGACCTTGACCGCTTCTCTCCGATCGTCCTGCCAATTTCGGGCGTCACATTTATCAAAGCAAGGTCCAACAGAGGCAATTTGCAATGTTCGGTTCATCAAGTCCTCCCCGTCCCAACGATAAGTTTGAGGCAGATAAGCGCCAGAATGTTCTCCGTAGGTTAACCGAGTAAACCAACCGGTACAATTATCAGCTGGATAAATATTTACACAGATTCCCCTATTCTTTATCCCATTAACGTATCCACCTGGAGCGTTGTAAATTACGGGTTTGCACGTGGAAACATCGTAATCGTGTGCTTCTGCTAATGTTAATAAGGGATGGCTCAGAATTTGGATGGTTTGGGATTCCTGATTAAAAGATCCTTTTGATAATCCGAGGGTTAAAATGACCACAAAAATTGAAAGTGTGAAGGTAAATATTTTCCTGTGTGAGGATTGCATAATGTTATTTAAATAAGAAACTAACTGATAAAAATGTCTTTGATTAAACTTGTGAGATCTGTTCCCAGTAGGGTCTGGGATTAAACTGCATAAATGGGATATATGCATCAAACTAAATTTTTGCATATACTGTGTATCAGTTTTAATCAAACGGGATGCAGTTGCATAACGAAGCAATCCGAGTAAAACCTTGCATAACTGATTTGTTCAACTTTACGTAACTTTTAGTAAAGTAGAAATAAAGAGAGCGTGTGATTGCCATGTATGTTGTCCTTGATCAAGCAAGAGTTTTGCTAAATATACCCTTTTTATCTTTCTACTTTTAGCAGTGCAGGACTTATCTTGGCTAGACAGTATGGATTGGGTAGTAGATAAATACACGTAATGCTGTGATCTTCTGATGATATATTTCCACAGAAATATTATATGTATACTATAAATGCTTTCTGTTGAGTTTGTTATGCAATGGATAATATTTCAGTCATTTTGTTGCAAGTGGGATATAGGAGTGACGATGATGTTCGCTCATAGGTTCCCCTACAAATAATGGGTGGGGGAAGAAGGAGCGAGGAAGAAGGGGCCTTGCAAAAAAGGTTCCTTTTTCGCCAGGCCCATTCTTCGTAGACTCGTACTTTTATAATCTTGTATTTTGAATATGTGCAACCTAAGTCCAGTAACCACACTCACAGAAATATTATTAGGATTTGTAGACGAATATGACACTACCGATATGGTGATAAATTTACCACCGACTGGTTACCATTATCACCAGATTCGTTATAATTGTCACCAAACCGGCAATATTTGTAACCAGTCGGTTTCAAATTTATAACCAATCAGTTGTAAATTTATCACCATGGCGGTAGAGTCATATTCGTCTACTCTTTGGTTATAATCGTAACCACACTTCTAAGAGTGCAGAAGCACAAATGTAATAGGATAACAAACAGAGAGCAGATCTTAAACTAATTAATATTATCCATGTAACCTGTAAGTATTCCTGTGACGTAACTTATCTCATATGAGGGTGTCAGTTGTATCAATAAATAAATAAACAGATAGCCGGGGTCGTCGCGAAATAAGTTCATCGAGAAAATGCAACCGGCCAGGTAAGAATTTTTTTTATGCTTATGTAAATATGTACTTTCAAGTGACGAATATTTGTTTAAATATGAATAATATGTATGTGTTCGCTGTTGCTATCCAAGGAGATGCTGGATTGCCAGGAAATTAATCAAGAGTGGAGTATTCCTTTTGTATGGGTATTTAAAAACAAACATTTTGCATGGATTGATGAATTTACATATGTTTATTTAGACTTAATATTTACTCATCATGAGGAACAATTATACCCTTCAAAAGAATATAGACAAAAATATGATTTTCTCTATAATTTATTTAATTGTCATTGTTTATCAGTTTCCAAAATTGGATATTACTCATTACGTAACAAAATTTTTAAAAAATTCCGAATTCAATTTTTTGAGTAAAAATTAACTCCTTTGTAAACCATTTATTTAAATAATTTCATGAAATATTAGATTTTCGCATCGTTTTCCAAACGCAATCAGTGTAGCATGAAATCTAATTTTTACACATTTTCCTCTCACTTTGTAAAATCCTTAAGAACTTCACTTGTCAAAATGTATGGTTTATTATAAATAAAATTCCCGGCTAAAAAATTAATCTCTTCTATCTAGCTTTTCCGCGAAGGGTGTTACCTCTTAGAGTCAGTCACGTTTCTTTCTGTTCAATCCCTTAGGCCCCCTAAATCCCCCCATACGTCCTCTTCCTACTTGGTAAGGAAATCGTTGCCTTGGTGAGCGAAGGTGTAACAGATAAAAGGTAATTATCATAATGATAATTATCAACATTTTTACGATTTTTGAATGTCACACGAAAAGTTTAATTTCTTCCAAATACCATGAGCAATGTTATCGCTACCTATACACATAGATTTACAAACACTAAATATTGCTGGTTCAAAATAAGCGTTATAATTTCAGAGTTTTATTTTACATACATAAATTTATATCACTTAATGGTGTTGTCGAGAAACTATTTTACTTGTAAACCTGTCACATTAAAATATCTTCTGGCTCAACCTTTTTGACCAAAAATTTAACATATCTCCTAGGCTAATCGACAAACATGTAGATATGAAATAGATTAATTTCCAACACAGTTTCTCCAATAAGTCCAAATAAACATTTAACGTAATTTAAAAACTAGTCTGATATTCCACTTATTTTGATGTAAATTTTCATTTTGTGTTTTCCAATATCCAAAAAAAGAAGACAGTATCCACCCCTGGGTTTTGCAGCACTTTTGCCCAAATTTTGGTTTAAATGTTTCTTGAACACGGTCCTTCTTTCTAAAATCGACGCTGGAACACAACGGTGTGTGGAAAACCGGAAAGTGTTTCTTCTTAGTTTTCTTCGGTTTTTAACAATTTTTAAATATTTTCCTCACGACACTATGTTGTGTTCAATTAAATCCATAGGAATGCAAATATTTAAATAAGTCCATAGAAATGCCAATTACTATATATCCTACATATCTTTTTCCTATTAGGACAACACCAAAAATCCAGTTAAGGAAAATTATCTAAATATTCGTGTGAAGCATTTAAATAAAAGTTCCAAACATACACCTTAATTGCTCTATTTCCATTCTTCCCCTCCATTAGATAGACACTAAGTCCACCTAGTAAAGTTTATATCATAAATTTTCTAAATTTTACTACGTACGACATGGAGCCAAATCCGCTGTAATTACTAAACCGAAGAAATATCTGTGTAACTTTGTAGAATTTTTTTAAGTATTTAGTAGTCAAATATCTAGGTATCTAATTACTTAAATTAGGTATCCAATTTATATCTACACTCTTAGCAAAGTTGTGTAAAGATGTAGTGCATACTTGACTCCACCAAATTGTGATAATGTTTTCCCCGTATGGAGATTATCTTTCCCCACATTGTGACACATTGTCACTAGCTTGTGCAAAAGAACTCCATTCGGTGTTATACATTATCACAATTTTGTGGCGTCAAGTATATACTACATTCGGTGACGATTAACACAATTTTGCTAAAAGTGTATATAGGTTAACCTTTAAGTGGTTAAAATTATAATTTTCTTGGTTGCACAAAATTTCCTCAACTCTTCCCATCCAGGATGTTAATCCATTAGTGAATGGATATATAATTCGTAAATTACGATCGTATGTAATCGTCCTTATTCTTTTGTAATTATGTTCATTCGGAACTTTTTTTAAATTTGTCTTAATACAAATAAGCCATTAGTCTTTCGAAATAAGGTATTACATGGAAATTTTTCGTCCGTTATTAATTAATATTTAAGATATATACCCATGCAACATTCCACATCAATCTGATATCAGAACAAGATCATTCTACGATATTGCCTGATATCAGAAATAGAATGTCATATTGATATCGGAACGACATCAGTGATGACGTCATCATATCTCCAGCATGTCATTTAGATGATTTAAAAACGACATCACTATGCGATGTCTATATGATATCGTATCGACATCAGAATTTGATATCATTGCCATATCACGAAATATGATATAAATCGGATATGATCCAAGTCGAAACTGAACCGCAATATTCAACTAGTGCATGTTGGATTGTAGCAGCGTGGACGTCAAATTTTGTTAAAAGGTAATTTTTATAGTATTTTTCTACAAATAAAATGAGAAAAAGTATAGTAGGTAAAAAGCGATTACAACAACTTGCAAAAAAAGAAACTAACGAAATATCTGTTGGTATAACTTATCAATCAAGTAGTCAGTTACACGAACCAGATCAGTTAATAAATAGTTCGCCCGAGGAGGGAATCGATAATTACGAGGAAAGTTGTAGTAATTCCACAAGTTCTAGTGACAATTCCATCCAATTTTCAGATTGTGATGATGAAAGTGATTATAAAAATTGTGAAAAAGTGACCTCATCCTCTACTGAAATCCTAGAAAGCATAAAATCTTGGGCCTTTGCCTATTCAATTAATCACAGTCAGTTAACTGGACTTCTAAAAATCTTAGGTACCCATGATTGCTTTAAAACGTTTCCGTCAGACAGCAGAACTCTTATCAAGCCCGTGAAGTTAACGCCCCTACAGAAACAGTTGTCCCTGGAGAATATGTGCATTTTGGATTAAAGACATATACTCAGCAGGTCACAAAGCTACACCCGACATTAAATTCAATCCCCCTTCAAATCAATATTGATGGTCTTCAAGTTTTCAAAAGTTGTTCATTATCATTTTGGCCGATACTGGGATATTTTGCTGGATTAAATTTCAATCCATTTGTGATTGGAGTTTATAGTGGAAATAAAAAAACCAGAGAATGTCAACTTATACCTTCAAAAATTAGTTACGGATGTCAATGCAGAACAAATTGCAACAAAAGACAAATTTAAAATACAGTGTTTTGTTTGCGACGCGCCGGCCAAGTCGTTCGTGAAGGCAATTAAAGGGCACAATGGCTACCATGGTTGTGATAAGTGCTGCGTGGTTGGAAGGAGTATAAATCGCCGTATGAGTTTTTTCGAAATTAACAAAGAACTGAGAACTGATTTACAATTTCGCCAACAAAATGACGAAGACCATCATATTGGAACAACGGAATTAACGAAGATAGATGGATTGCACATGATTAATTCATTCCCTATCGACTACATGCACTTAGTCTGTTTAGGGGTAGTCAAAAAACTTTTAAAACTGTGGATAAAGGGTAAACCAAAGCGTCAAAAATTGTCAGCTTTCCAGATATCTCAAATCTCAGCAAAATTAAAAGTATTCAAAAAATTTACTTCATCTGAATTTTCTCGTCAACCACGATCGTTAGAAGAAGTTGACAAATGGAAGGCAACGGAACTGCGATACTTTTTACTTTATTGTGGCCCCGTGGCATTGAAAATATTATAAGTGACGAAAATTACAATTTACTTTAAGTTTATCCATTGCGATTAGAATATTGTGTTCTGAAACATTACATATTTCCCTTAACAATTATGCAAAGTCATTACTAATTTACTTTGTCCAAGCCTTCAAAATCCTATATGGAGAAGAACAGGTGTCTTAAAACATTCACGGTCTCATTCATTTAGCGAAAGACGTGAAAAATTTTGGTGTGTTGGACAGATTTAGCGCATTCAAATTTGAAAATGAACTTGGACAGTTAAGAAAATTAGTTAGGACGCCCAATTTGCCACTGGAGCAACTGAAACAAAGATTATTGGAGAGGGAACTAAAATTGGAGGCGCGAAACATTCAAATAAACGGGCCATCCTCACAGCACAACAATGGACCACTTCTAGAAGAATCTTCTGGAAATTTTACTCAGTATCACGTATTAATTACACCGAATTATACAATTAATTGTAGGCTTCGCCGCGATACTTTCGTTTTAATACGTGAATGTGCAGTGTTTCGGATTCTTAACATTCTTCAAGACAATGATAATAATGAGATTTATTTAGTTGGACATAAGTACAGTAAATTGGACTCGTTATTTTCCCAGCCGTGTTCG